ATTAAACGTTTGATTTGATACTCGTTTTAATCGAATACATAATCCATCAAAAATAACTGTACCACGTTTATCAGTTTTCCATTCAATTTGTTCATCAGGTATAATATCACAAAAATCTGTTCCATTGATTTGAGAATTATTTAATGTTTCACCTTGAATTGTAAATGTACCAGGCATTTGACGACAACGTAAAACAATTTTAGCTGTATAAACATATTTATCTATTTGTGATGTAAATTCAAGTGGAGTTGAATAATGGTTTTGAGCTGCATAACGAATTGTTGGTGAAGTAAAAAAAGCTTTTTGACTAAATATATATGTACTTAAAAAAAAAAGAAATTTTTTATTTAAATAAATACCCATTAATATGTCCAGGTCGAATTGTTAATTTTGTTCCATCTAAAAGTGTATCACCAGGTAAACAAATTTGTCGATGTTTAATCATTGATAATGCAGCATTAGGTAATGTACCATGATATGATATTGCCCATTTATCCTAGATTAAAATTTTTAAGAATTTTTTTTTTTTTGAAAATCTTTATGAATTATTTTTACCCAAATTTGATGGATTTTAGCTTGAACTTCATCAATTTTAAGTCCAAATTTCATCCAATTTCTTGGTATAATTATTGGATATTTATTTCCAATATTACCTTGACAAGCATTAGGTAATGTTATTGGATAACATGTCTTACAAAAACATCGATCATATTCAGGTGCAAATAATTCCGATGGCCAATTGAGACGATCAACTAATTCACAACATAAAGCCTAATGAAAAATAAATTTTCAAAATAGAATTTAATTTGAAAATGTTTAACAAACTCGATAAGGACATGATACTGAAATTGATTTCATAGTTGGAATAATTATTGATTGAGATTGTTTATTCGTTTGTAATAAAGATTCAATTTGAGTTGTATCATATTTTCTATTAAACATAGCCATATGTTCAACACGTTCAATAATTTGTTGTATTGTACGTACATCTTGACGTTTATTTAATATTTGAAAATCATCAATATCTTTTTGAAGTTGTTTTCTTTGTATAAATAATGGAGAATTTCTATTTGTTTCTTTTAATAATTGTTCATCTTGTTTAATTAATTTATTATGTAATTGTTTAGACATTTCATTAATAAATATTTCAAATATTGAATCTGATGAATCATTATTTGGAATATGTAATTTAAGTTTATGTTTTGTTGTTAATTGAATAGCAAATGTTCGACGAATTTTTGTCTAAATATTTTTATTTAATTCAAAAATAAAAAAAAAAAACTTATATATAATTACCAATTTATTATCCATATTTTAACAAAAAATAAAGATAAAGATTAGATTTCTTTGTTTGTTATAGGATCTCGATTAAATGACGTATTTATATTTTATCATGATTTCTAATATAAAGTTAAAGAACGAACAAAAGAATGAAAAGAAAAAAAAAATAGAATTAATTCTTTCCACTAACAGCAATTGCTTTCGTTACTTGGTGTTTTTTTTTTATTCATATAAATAATGTATTTATCTGATTTAGTATTGTCGAGTGATTCTATGTTATCAATATATTTCATGATCTTGCCAAAAGAAAAAAAGCAAGAACAAAAGTAATCATAATAATGAAAAGTACGAAAAAGAAGAAAGTGATTTTTAAAACTCGAAAGCGATAAGTTTAGAAGATTTCATCGACTGAGAATATGTTGATTAAAATAGTTGTCCTACAGATATTTTGTGTCTATTTATTTTCAATTCTTATCAATCCAATTAATAATAAACATAATATAGAAATTGAAAACTTACTAATTTAAATTG